TACTATATATATATATATATATATATAAAATTGATGAGTAATATTTCGAGCCAAAATGAGCCGAACACGAACGAACAAGTCTTTGTTTGTGCTTGACTCTTTAACTTAGCAAATGAGCCGAACACGAGCTTCTTAACGAGTCGAACACGAGTTGTTCGCGAACCCTAGTCAAGCCAGGGAACACACCATATACTGATACATGGGGGGCCTCAAGCCTGCTATTAGTAATGTCATGCAGTTACATTCATATTAATCGTTGAGGGATGTTAAAATCTGAGCCTTGAAGGTGGAAAGATAACAAAAATAGAGCAGACAACAATCTTTATTCAGACAACAGTCTTTGGTTAGACAGTCACCTACAGTTATAAGTACTGACAAGAATACCTTCGGGGGAGTTCGCAAGATAGGACAGGGGAGTGACAAAACATATTCGAGTGGAAAGAATTCGGAAAAGGGTGGCTCTCCCAATAAAGTTCCTGTCAGGAGATGTTTTAGGTGCTACGACTACGGACACATAGCCTCCAACTGTCCCACGAGCCAATTTTTCTCATTCATAGATCAGAATATCGTCGAGGAGGTGGAAGACAAGGAGTCAGAGAATAGTCCAGAGGAAGAACTTCAACTCCAGGGTGAAGAGGGAGAGATGTTAGTCATACGGAAAGTTCTATACTCATAGTCGAAAAGAAATAAGTCATGACTAAGGCACAATATCTTTCGCTCCAAGTGTACGGTAAATAACAAGATTTGTAGTTTGATTATCGACGATGGGAGTTATGAAAATATAGTGTCCACAATGATGGTGAATAAATTGGGATTTGTCACACAGAAACATTCTCAATCTTATTCTCTTAAATTGTTGAAGAGGGGAAATTGGATACACATGGATCAACAGTGTTTGGTTGAATTTTCATTTTGGGATCAGTTACAGGAGCAAGTGTGGTATGTGACCAATGGACGTGTGTCATTTCTATTGGGAGGCTTTGATAATTCGATCACAAGAATCAACACGACATCTTCACTTTTAAAAAAGGATAGGAAATGTATCATGTTGTTACTTGTTAAGGGGACGAGATGTGTAGGAACATAGAGTGGCATTAGTTTCAAGGGTCGCCTTCATACAATAAGTTTGGGATATGCTCAATGACATTGGCATTAGTCCTACTAGAGGGAACCGAGAAGGAGAGTGAGATACCAGCACCGCTTCATCCACTACTACACGATTTTTAGGATGTGATGACCGATAGTCTTTCAGAGGAATTATGACAACTGAGAGAAATTCGACACACCATAGATCTCATATCAGGATCAGTGTTGTTTAATTGGTCTGCCTATAGATTGAGACCTGCGGAGTATGAGAAGTAGTAGTGATAACTGCAGGATCTCGTGCGAGAGAGTTGGTTAGAGCACCACTATGTGTGTTGTCCCCGCTCCGATGGTGTCCAAGAAGGACGGTTCGTGGATGATATGCATTGACAACAATGTCATCAACAAGATTACCATTATGTATTGGTTTCCCATATCTCGCTTAGACGACCTCTTTGATCAGTTGGATGGAGCTACCATTTGAAGGTTAGGAGACGAGTGGAAGATCGCTTTCAAGACTCGAGATGATTTATATGAGTGGACAATTGTGCCTTCAAATTGTCAAACGTGCCCAACATTTTTATGAGGCTGATACCTCTATCCCAAACCTACATTGGGAAATTTGTGGTGGTCTGCTTTGACGACATTCGAGTATACATCTGATTTGAGGAGGAGCACTTACAACATATGAGGGCGGTATTTGAGGTATTGGAAGTAGAGAAGTTGTATGCCCATCCAAAGAAGTGCCATTTTATGACAAGGTAGGTATGTTTTTTGGGTTATATTGTGTATAGTGCAGGCATTCAGATGAATCATACAAATATTGACGCCATTGTGAGTTGAACCGCACCGTAGTCGTTCACTGAGCTGAGACAATTTCTTGGACTAGATTCATTTTACAGACGATTCATCAGGAGCTTTAGTACCATCATCACCTTTTTGACAACGCTTTTGAAGGGAGAGAAATTCCAGCGAATAGTGGCAACTCAAAAAAGTTTCAATGCACTCAAGGCGAAGTTGACCCTGGCATCAGTTTTGGCATTACCAAATTTCAACTAGTTGTACGAAGAAGAGTGATGCATTGACGTGGGGATAGGAGCAGTGCTGAGCCAGGGAGGTCCCTCATTGTTTTTTTCAATGAGAAGCTGAATGTTTTCAGGAGAAAAAACTCGAAATACGACAATGAGTTTTATGCTATTTTGGGAGCTCTTGAGCACTTGAGCCAATACCTAGTGATGGCGAGTTCACATTGCTTGTGGACCATAAAGCCTTAAAATTCTTAAACAATAAGAGCAAATTGAAAGACCGACACATCACTTGGATTGAGCTCTTAGCATCGTTCCAGTTCGTGCTTAAGCACAAGTTGTGAAGTCAAAACTAGGTAGCAGATGCACTGAGCC